CGAGTCAGAGCGTCGGCACCTTGGCTCTAGACTGCTTACTGCTGCGTAGGGACAGGACAGTAACAGTCTACAGTCATGGCTACTGAAGCATGACCCCCCGCCGGCACCGGCCCCGCGCCCTCCCGGCCCCCCCCACTCCGACGCCGCCCGGGCGACCGTGGCTTTAGATTGTTACTGTGCCGCTGGGGGGGTAACAGTCTACAGCCATGGTCGCCGGGACAGGCGGACTCGCACCGCGGGCAGCACCGGCTCCCCCCACTCGCCCACCCCCGGGGGTCCCCGAGGCGGCGGAGGCGGGGGTCCCGTCGGGGGCGGCCCGCCTCCCGGGGCAGTAGGAGCTCACATGCAGGATGCAGCTCACCGCACATCAACTCTTACTGTTCGGGGGGGCGGGCGCCGAGCGGCTCCTCCTCGGGCAGCGGGAACCGTGGGGACCCCCTCCCCGGATCCCCCATCCTGGCCCCCGCCCCGCAGCCCCTCACCTGCCCTCCCGGCGGGGACCCGGAGCCCCTCGGGGACCGTCCCCGCCGGGCTCGTCCCGCCGCATCTGTCCGCTCGGCAGCCGGGGTCCCGTGCCCCGTGCCGTGTCCCCCCGGCTCGCCGCCGGTGCGCGGGGGGACCGCGGGGCCGCCGGCGGAGCGGGGCTGGCGGCGGGACCGGCGCGGCGGGGACTGAGCGCGGCCGGCGGGGCCGGGGCGGGGGCGGCCGGGGGCGGTCGCAGGTTGCACAACCCGCCCGGCGCGGCCAGGAGATTCCTGAGCGGCGAAGTCAGAGCGGCCCGGCCTGCCCCGGCACCGGGCACCGGGCCTTCAGCAGCCGGCGGCGACCGGTGCTGGCCGGGCAGGGCTCCTCGTGGGGGGCACCGGGGACTCACGGCCCTGGAGACGGAGAGAGGGGGCTGGAAGGGCTGTGCTGACCACAGGAGGGGAGGGAGGCACCTCATCCCCTGGGGACACCGGGGATGTAGGGTCAGGCCCAAGAGGGTGAGGCTGGCAGTGGCAAGAGGGACAGGAAGAGTCCCTGAGCAAGAACTTTCAGTCCTGGGATGCTGCAGCACAGGGCTCCTGCAGGTGTCCCACCTAGACTGAGTAAGGGTCATGCAGGGTCCCTGCCCACACTCTCCCCATCCATGCTGCTCACCTGGCAGCTCTGCCCTCACCCAGACAGGCATGGCCACCACCAGGTCCCCAGGGGCCAGCAGGGCCACAGTGGGACACAGGAGCTGCAGGCAGGGGAGGTAGCAGGTCCCTGCTGTGCCCTGCTGTGTCTCTTGCTTGTTCCCTTTGATTCCTGCTTTTCCCATTGCTGCTGTTGGTGATGGGACAAGCACCTCACACCCCCAGGACGGGATTTTCAGGCAGTCTCACCAGCACTCAGGTAAAACCACAGCTACGTCCAGCACATCCATGCTGCAAAGTTGCCACTGCCACAAACCCCACCCTCGATCCTCTGGGAAACACCTCCTTGTTTACACCCCATCAACAGCATCACAGTGAGGTCCAGGCCACGGTGACATCAGTGTCCCTTCCAAGGTACCCCTGGGTGAGGGGACACGTCCTGTGGGCAGTGCTGTGGCCCCTTGGACCCCACTCTCCAGCCGGGGAACGTTCCAGCTGCATTGTTGTTTTGAAGGCCAAGTCTCTCCCGCTGACACCCTGGAATCAGTTTTTCTTCCAGAGTCCTTAAAAATATCCTGGATTCCTGACACCAGGACTTGTCTTCCAACGGCGCTTCCAAGCCGCCGGGCCCGGGGCCAGCCGCCAGCGCCAGGGGACAGAGGCTGTCCAGCTCCCGTGCTCCTCCTCAGCACAGAGATCGCCGGGAAGGAATGTGGTGCCAAGGAGGATCACAGCCCCTGCCACGGCCTCTTCCACGGTGGATTGGTGCTCAGCAGGGCACAGGCATGGCACAAACACTGCCTGACCTCGGCAACGCACCCAGCGGCTTCGGAGCGTGTCCCTGTGCACGGCCAGGAGGGTGGGAAGGGTCTTATGTGACCTCCAAGCCATGACCCTACAGAGCCCAGCAGCTGAGGACAGGGGTGGACACTGCCTCAGCGAAGGTCCCAAGGGACTCTCCCAGATGGGATTTCCCTGTGCATCCCTGGGAGAGCACGTGGCCCCTGAAAACTTCTTAGACAAACCTGTCATGCACTCTTGGCTTTGCCAAGTGGCATCCTGGAACCGTAGGAATTTAGGGTGGGCCTGGGGGGGCTGAGCCACCAAAGCTGGGGGGCTGCAGGAAGAGGTGCTGCTGTTGCCCCCCCAAAGGCCAGGCAGGTGCCCACTGGCCCCACACGCTGCTGCTGCCATCTGACAGCTCTTGGCCAAACGGCCCTTTGTGATTCAGCCGTGTTTATCCCAGCCTGCAGCCCGGCCCAGCGTGGGTTTCCATGGAAAACTTCCATCCAAAACAAGGAGAGAGAAGGAGCTACAGCAGGAGTGACTCAGCCACAACTGGAAGCTTCTGCGAGTGAAGCAGGGAAGGGGGGGCTGTTCCCTACGGCTTGGTCCTGCTCCAGCAGCGGGGCCCAGGCACGGTCCCGGCTGTCCCCTGCCCGTGCCACTGCCACTTCACAGGCAGGACCTCGGCAGGTTTGGGGAAGCCTCGCTGTAAAACCATCTGGGAAACACGTCACCCTCCAGGAGAGCCCCCTCCCCACGCCTCTGGCAGGCCCTGCCAGCAGGGACTGAGGAGGAAGAGCGTGAGATGAGTAAGGCTCAAACCTGGCACGAGCCGCACCTGAGGTCACTTTTTCCAGTGCTGCCCACAGCAACCCCTACCCGTGCCTGGTGTGCTCAAGGGGGTGGCTGGCAGGGTGGCCAGTGGCAGTGACCTCGAGGTGGCAGTGGCACAGGGGGAAGGGGTGAGGGGAGAAGGGGAGAGGTGGGAGAACAGCCGGGAGTTTGCAGGGAAGCAGCAGCACCGGGAGTGTCTCTGCTCCTGCCGGGCTCCTTCCACCCTCCCCGGGACACTGGGACAGGGCTGGGGGCTCTGCTCAGCCAGGGAAGGGCAGCAAAGCTCTGCCTGGTCGAGCCCTGGACTCCATGCCCACAGCAGGCTCCTCACAAGCCCCGGCCAGGGTCCTTCCTGTCCCTGAGGTCATGCAGGTGGCTCCAGTGGCTGCACTGGGGTATGGAAAGGCACATCTGGGGACAGGGGTGACATCCCCCTGCTGAAACACCCAGGCTCCTGCTGCTGCTGCTGACACTGGTGACTGTCCCCAGGGCCCTCTTGTCCCAGGCAAGTGGCACAGCTGCCACCCAGATCCCGGGCTCACTCCATCACGCCCCTGTTCAGCCACAGCAACTGGCCCACGCTGTTTTGGGGGAAAAAATACCTCCCCTGGGCCACGGTGGGTGATGGAAAAGGGAACTCCCCAGCACGAAGCTGAGCGAGGGTGGGAGGCCATCAGCCACCCTTGTCTCCAGGTCACCTCTGCGGGCAGCCAGGCTCTGTGGCTGCATCCCAACAACAGACCTGGATCTGCGAGAGAGGCAGGGGCCAGCCGAGGGCACCTCGCCAGGAAAGGAGGGAGAGGATTCCCATGGCAAACCCCTCCGAGCCGCTTCCCTCCTCCCACCACACCGGCACCAAGCAGGACCTCCCTCAGCTGCTCGCACAGGCACCTCCTGCGGACAAAGGTCGCGTTTATCTGTGTTTATTAATTTATTTAAACCGCTACAGCAGACACCCGGCGGGAGCCATCTTTATGCGGACCCCGGGAAAGGGGCAGGAACCGCAGCTCGGGTCACCCATCCCTCCCCGAGCCACCCAGGGAGCTGCCTGCGGAGCCGGGACCGGGCTGTCACTCACCGCACCCGGGGCTTCATCCCCTTCCTTCCGTGCGCCCGGGAGCCGCCGGTGCCTCTCCGTGCGCCCGGGAGCTGCCGGTGCCTCTCCGTGCGCCCGGGAGCCGCCGGGGCTGCGGGGCCGCAGTGCGGGCACAGCGCGGCCATGGCTGCGGTGCCTCCCCCGCACCGGGAAAGCACCGGGAGCTCGGCGACAACCGAACAGCTCCCGGGGCTGCGAGCGCCGCCGCTGCCGTCCCTGCCCGGGCTGTGCTGCGTTGTCACGCTGCTCACAGCTGCAGCCCCCAAAGCCAGCCCGTGGTGTCACCGAGGGGTGCAGGGACCCCGCGGCAGCCGTGACACAGTCCACGCGAGGTGGCACAGCCAGCAGAGCCCCCCCAGCCCCGCAGGGAAACAGCAGAGCGGCTCCGGGCTGCGGGGAGCAGCCAGAGCCTCCTGCCAGCACCAGCACGGCGCTGCAGAGCCGCGATGGGGCCGAGAGCTGCTCGCTCCTGCGGCGCTGCTGTAACCCCGGGCACGGCCGGGCCCGTTCCCAGCTCACAGCACAGGGAAGGTTTCTGCAGCACAGCGTCCTGTGAGCTGACACTGCGCTGCCCTGCTGCTCAAACAGGGGGAAAATTCACTTTTTTCACCTCATTTCCCTCGTTCAACAGCTCTACACCCCCAAGGAAAGCCGTGGTTAGAGAAGCTCTGCTAGCACTCCTCTCCTCAGACTGGTGCCCAGTGCTGAGCTGGGCCGAGCTGGGCAGGACACCTGCAACTGTTACAGCAATAAAGATTTTCCTGTGCTTCTGGATAATAGAGGCACAAACAAGCTTTTCTTGTTCATGGAGGCACTTTGTGCAAGGAATATTCAACACGTGCACACCGAGCCAGCAGGCATTTCATTCCTGAAACAAACACCAGCCCTGGCACTGCCAAGGATGAGAGGGTTTTCAGGCCCAGACCAGCTGGAAGCTTGGCTTAGCAGATATTAAAAACCACGAGGTTTTGGGGTGTCAAACTGCAAGAGCTCTGAGCTCTGCAGACACTTCCTGTGGCTGAGCTGAGGAGCTCTCTTCTTGAGCAGGTGTTTGAGTCTCTGAAAGCACCTTTCCCACAGAGCAGTGTCACCCTCCTGCCCTCAACCCCCTCACTGTCACACCCCCACACCCACGTGTTACATGTCATATACAACTTTATATACATATATATATATAGACACATATATATATATATTTTATACTGATGTATGCAACAAGGCTGAAAAAAAGGGAGATAAAGAACCATTTAGGCTGGCCTGGACGAACACTGAAGCGCAGAATGTGCAGTGAGCTGTTCTCTGGTCCCTCTGGAGGCACGGAAACAGTGATCTTTCACAGGATAAGTGGCTGCACGTGGCTCACCAGAGCCCTTTTTTTATTACAGAGCCCGCTCTCACACCTCCCCAGCCTCATCGGCCTGGCCCTGCCGGGGGCAGAAGCGCTCCAGGAACTCCAGGTAGGCTTTCCTCTGCGCCGCAGCCGCGGGGATGAAGTGCCCGCCGGGGTGCGTGAGCACCACGGGCTCCACGAAGCACTGCGCCAGCTCCCTGCTCAGGGCCGCGGCGATCACGCCGTCCGTGTCGCCCACCACGTGCAGCGTGGGCAGGGCGATGGGCTCCCGGTAGAAGTGTCCGTGCGCCGGGGCGCGGCTGGCGAACGCGGCCACCAGCACGGCGAAGGCCACCGGGAAGCGCGGGTCGCCGCGGGCCCGCAGCGCGCACACCATGGCGGCCAGCGCCGCGCCCTGGCTGAAGCCCAGCAGCCCGTCGAAGGGCCCCTGCTCCCTCAGGGCCGCCGCCACGGCCGACAGAGACTCCTCCAGCCCCGCCGGAGCCGCGGCCGCTTCGCCCGCCTCGAACGTGCCGGGCCCGGAGAACCACCAGCCGCGGGGCGGGTCGTCCCCGTCGGGGTCGTCCTCAGCGCCGGCGGGCAAGCGGTGCGGCGCGTCGATGGGCACCAGCTCGGCGCGGCCGCGCAGGGCCTTGCGGAGCGCGCCGGTGCGCTGGCGGAGGCGGCGGGCGCTCTGCCGGTAGCCGTGCAGCGCCAGCAGCCGCAGCGGCCGCGCCTCCGCCATGGCGCCGCCACTTCCGCCTTCCCGCCGAAACGCGGCGCGCTGATTGGTCGGAGAGAAAAGAGCGAGGGGAGCGCCTCGGCGGGGGTGGCGCGCGCCCCCTGGCGGCGGGAGGCCGCGGGGTGTGAGGGCGGGCGGCCCCGGCGGGGCGGGCGGGACGCGACCCCCGGTGCCACCCGGCCTCGCAAGGGGCAACTCCCCGCCGGCAGCCGGGATCGGCCCTTGCGGGCAGCGGTGGTGTCGAGTTACGGGGTGAGACCCCATCCATTGCCTAGAGGGGGTCCCGGTGGCGCTCACAGCGGCGGCGCCGATGCCGGTGCCAGGGCAGCAGCGGGTGACACTCAGGAACCGGCGAGGTCCCCGGTGCTCAGCTGCTCCCCACGCTCGAGCGGGGCGGGGGGCGCGGGTGCCTTCCCCTGCAGGGAGAGGGAGGCTCAGGGGTGTCCCAGCCGGAGCCAGTCCGTGCCCAGCCCGCAGCACCCCCGAGGGAACCCCCCTTTCCCGGGAGCCGCGGGCTCGGCAGGCGCTCACCCCCACACCGGGGGAGCCGCGTGTCCCTGCCCGGGCCGGGCTGGCGCTGTCCCCGCTACTGTTCGGTGGCAACCACACCACGGGGTGGCGCTTTCGGTACGCGGCACCGCGGGCTCAGCCCGTCCCGGAGCTCTCACCGGCCCGAGGGAGCGAGCGCGGAGCCGGAGTCGCCCCGCTGCCCACCTGTGCCGGCCGCCCGCGCTGTGTGCCGCCGTGGTTCACCGTCCACGGCCCCAGCGACTGGCTGGCGTAGAAGTCCATGGGATAAGGCTGCTGCCACTCGATGTCCTGGAGAGCCACCGCGGCCTGAGGAGAGAAGCAGGGATGAGTCCCCAAGCGGTGCCCCCAGAGGGGGAGCTGGGAGAGGTCCCAGCATTCAGCTTGGTGTGCCGAGGAGGGCAAAGCTGGAGGCACTGGGAATCCCACTGGTTTCACAAAAGACTGGATATCCCAGCAGCGTGCCTGGATTGTGCACAGAGCACAGATGCAGAAGGAGGGGACACTGTCTGGGTGCAGGGACATCCCCAAGCCTGCTCTGGCGCATCACCCCAAGTCAGGACTGTCCCTCCAAAACAGAGAGGGGTGCTCACCTCATAGGGTGTCAGCAGTGGCTTGCTGAAGGCCTCTCCCCAGTCAATGGAGAGCCGGGGACAGGCTACCTGCACCCACCTGGAAGGGAAATGTCACAGTGGGGATGAGCATTTTGGGAAGAACAAGGCACAGTGAAGCCCCTCAGCAGAACCCCAGAAGGTCCTAACTGTGCCAGCACCACCCTGGTAAGGACAGCCATGCCCCTCCAGTGACAGTGACAGCAGGACAGAAGTGTCAGGGACAGCTTCAAGCGGGAATTGCACAGGGATGGGGCACCCTGGCGCTGGAGGGGGTCAGCAGCACTCACACATCCACCTCTGGGAAGAGCTTTAACTTGCTGGGGAAGATCTCAGACAGCAGCACCCGCACGTAGGGCCGGCCCAGGGCACGGAGACGTGACTCCAGGTGCTGCAGGGGGAAAAGGCACCTGGCAGGGTTAGGGTCCCCCAGTAAGCCCCCCAAGCCCTGCCCACAGCCCCTTCCTGGCCATCAAACCCTCTGTGGCTCCCTGTTCTGCCCCACGTGTTCCCTTGGCAGTCATAGGCCAGACTGTGGCCATGGCTCCGGCTTGTGCCCAGCTCTCCCCAGCACGTGCCTCAGCCTAATGAAGTAATTACTGCTCAATGACAACAATCTGTTCTCGTTAGCGGCTGCCTGCCCTGGGACACCCGCCTGTCACGGGCTGGCTGCAGCCAGGGCTTGCAGGAGGAGGAGAGGGGCCAGAGATGTCCTTGTCCTCCAGAGCCAGCACTAATCGCCCCCTGCCCAGCCAGCCCCAGCCATGCCCGTGCCCTGCTTGCTGAGGAAGAGCAGCTGCTGGGACCTTGCTGCTCTGCTCTGCCTCAAATCTCACCTGTGGCTACCCCAGCATTCCTGGGTGTGAGCAGGGCCACCATGCTCAGGGGGCAGAACTCTGCAGTCCCGCTCCCCTCTCGCAGCCGGGGCGCAGACAGCGCCAGCACGGCAGCTGAGCAGGGATGCTGAACCTGATCGGAAGTTCATCCAATTAAAACAAACCCAGCCAATTAATTGCCGAGCTGTCTGGGTGGGGGGGGAGGTTCTCCAAGACTGGCCAGCTCTCCCCAGGAACGGGTTTAATGAGCCCTTGTCCAGCCTCCCTCATCTGCTGCTAATTGCCCACGCAGACCGGGGCCAGTGGCCACTGATGGGCTGCCAGCGGTGCCACATCCACCCTCACCCTGGCAGCCACGGTGCCATCCCTCACCAGTCCTCTCCCCCACCCAAGAGCAGGACACTGGGGAGGGGGCTGGTACCTGCAGGATGCTGGGGGAGCCCTGGCGTCCCAGCGTGCCCAGGATGAGTCCCCAGCAGCGGGCAGAGCTGGCGGCGCGGATGGCGTCCTGCCGGGCGCGGTGCAGGCGCTCGTGGCTGTAGTGCTCCTGCGAGAACACTTTGCTGTAGGGATCGTACCTGCAAAGCACAGCCAGGCTCACACGGGCTCCATCACCTGCCCTCCTCCCAGCGATGCCCGTCCCTCATTAGCGCTAATTGCTTCCCACAGCATCTGTCCTCCCGGCTGATGTAGGACCCAGCCGGCTCGTTAGGGGACAAGGACAGGGATAGGGACAAGTGTCCCACCACAGCACCCCAACACCCAGCAGAGCCTCGGCTCCGTGCTCAGCTTCATACTCAGCTCCCCCCCATCCCGGCTCATCAATTATGAAGAATTCTTTGATTTGTTGCTTTGTTTGACGAGGAGAATTTTAATCAAATCCCACTCGGGTTTCGGCAGCTTCACCAGCGCCATAAACCTGACGTGCGCCTCCCGTTTGTAACAAACGACCTACTAGGAAATTCAGATTCCTCCAAATGGGCCCAGCCTTTCACTCCTGATATTTCATCTGCTTTCAGCGGCCTCATCATCGCGCTTTATGGCCTCTGCCTGCAGCAGCCGTGCTTTAATGGCTGCACCTCCACGAGCTTTCACAGGTACTTGTCAAAATGTTTATATTCAGCCGGAGTAAATGGCTGGTGTTCATCTCCCCCAAGCATCTCCTCACCCACCCCGTGGCCTCTCACCTGCCCATGCCCGCTGCTGGCAGCTGCCTGCCCAGCCCTGGGGGGCACATGGGGACAGATGGGGTGGTCCCCACCATGGGATTGGAGTGGGTGCCCGTACCTGTACGCAGGTATCCCTGGGTTGGCAATCATGATGGACTCCAGGTGGAAGCGCCCGTCGCCCAAATACCTGCCGAGAGGGAAGGGAGAGCTATGGCACTGAGAAACAGCAGCACCCATCCACGTGTCCACTGGTTTCCCAAACTGCAGCACAGTGGAGATGCCAGGAATTCGAGCTCCTGTGCTGGGACCCAGGGGCAGCAGGCACAGCCAGGGCTCCCTGGCATGGCAGGGCTGGAGAGGCAGCCATGCTCGGAGCAAGGAGGGGTGCTCACACCAGCACGGGGTGGCTGGGAGCTGCTCCATCTCAATGGCTGGTTCTAGACGTTGCTGCTTCCATTTCTAATCGGATTTCCAGTCAGCAATTACATTTCAAAGCCTTTCATTCAGCTGCCCTAATGGAGTGAGGGCCTGGAAAATGAATTCAGACGTAAAACTTGACTAGATTTTGCCCTTAATTGGAGAATGACATTTTGGGAGATCAAAGCTAATTTGTCTGCAAAAGTTAGCCCCAGAGACGGTGCAAAGAAGAAAATAATAATGCAGGGAGGACGCAGGTAAGGCCGAGTGCACCTGCGCGGGCTGGTACCGCACTGCCGCTCCTGTGCCAGCTGCAAGGACCCACGCTCACCAATGCAGTGCCAGCCTGGCTGCCCCTGCCCGCTCCTGATGTCCTTGGAGAGACAGAAAGTGGCTCAGGATGAACCCAGAGCTCTCACTGCCCCTGTGTCCAGCAATCTGGAGCCCAGCTCCCTGCATGGCTGTGCTTGGAAAGGCACTGCTGCTGTTGGCTCCCAGCAGCGTGGGCAAGAAGGAGCTCAGCAGGGCCCAAACCCACACCTGGGCTCCCCGGCTCCCCCCAAGGGTGGGGTCCTTGTATTTATTTATTCTGCAGCACACTGTATTCACAGTACATTAAGCATTTCCATTACCTAAAATAATTAGGTGATAGGAAGCGAAGTGCTCCCTCTAATTTGCTGTCCTTAAATAAAATTAATGTTGCTGTGATGTTGGGCCCCGGCCATTTGTCTTTTCCAATTATCCACCCGCCCTTCCATCTATTATCTATTCTGATATACGACTCAATTATTTCCTCCATGCTACAAGCACACGCCACTTAAAGCAGCGTGAGGAGCTGAAGGGGGCCCATCCCAGCCCGTGGATAGCCCTAACCACCCCCTAAAATTGCACAAAACCAGGCAAGGGGTGCAGGAAGGATGGCCAGTCTGGGCCAGGCAGCAGGGTGCTGAAGGACCCTGGTACTTACACAATGGCATCCGTGTCCTGAGCGAGCCGGGGTGACGTACAGCCCAGGATCTCTCCTGGGGACAGTGGCTTACACTGGGGCACACACACCTTGTACTGGGAGCGCAGCTCCTGGGCCACTGCCTGTGGGAGACGTGGGGTCAGCACAGACAGGCCATGGCACAAAGGGTGGCTAAGGACCCTTGGGGACACCCCAACCCTGGCAGTCCCAGCTGTCGTGACCCGGTGGAGGGGAACCAGCCCGCTGGGGGGTGGCACCAGGAACAGCCCCGCGCAGCCGGGGGTGCTCAGCGAGGCTCGACCAACATATCAATTAAAAGACAAGGGAAAAGGCCTAACGCTTGGATAGCCCCGTGTTTTGATAGACACGGCTCAAGAGGCTCATTCATCTCCTCCCCTCCTGCCCAGCAGGCCGTTCAGGGGCAGACAGACAGAGCTTCCCCGGCCGCTGCCGGCACTGCATCAAAATGCCAAGTGCTCCACCGCCTGCCCTGACATTTCCAGAGCAGCTCCCGGGGGAGCTGGGGAGGGGTGCCGCCATGAAACATTGATCAGAGTTATTATAAAGTACTTGATCAACGTTATGGCAGCACCACATTATTGCAGCGACTCGTCAGAGGGGAACCAGCTCCACCAGCACCCCGGGGCAGCCGCTCCCGCCGTGGGGCTGGGACGGGGAAGGGCTGAGCCAGAGGAAAACTCAGGGGGAGACAAAAACCAGGGATTTCCATCTCACCTGCACCGTGGAGACGAACTGGATGGTGCTGACCAGAGCCAGGGAGGTGCCTGCTGTGAAGTTGAAGCGAATGGTCTCAAGAAAATGGGATGCATCGATCTTTATGTCCACGAACACATAGAGCATCTTCAGCCCCTGGGTGGAGTCGATGGGAACTGGTGACAGGAAGAGACAGGGTCTGAGTGTGGGGCACACCCGGGGCTCCAGCGAGTCCCAGGCTGTTGCTGCCTGCAGCTGGGGGATGAAGCATGTTGGTGGGGCTCCCTGTGCCCCAAACTGCCCTGGCATAGGCAGGGTGGGCTGTGCCACCCCTCTGCCTGTGCTGGTGCCCAGGGCAGGGGGTGCAGAAGGGAGCCACAGAGAGCACCCGCTCGTTTCTCTCCAGATAATGGCAGCCTGGGGAATCAATGAACACAAATCTAATTACCCCTGGTGCTAAGAAGCCTTTGTCACCACGATTAAGTGAATAATTAAAGTACACAGAGTCCACATCGATCCACAGCTCCATGTTCACTTCCCATTTTGGTGCTCTTTGCCTGATCACAATTAAGTGCAAATTACTCCCTCCTGCGGGGCACGTGGGGCTGGGAGGGAGCAGGAAGCATCGTGTGCCTCACCACTGTGGGCAGCTCAAAAGGAGCCCAGCATCCTCACAGCAGCCCGTGGGTAACCCAGGGTGCCCTGTGACCCACCCAACCCACAGCAGGCAAGGGACACGAGGCCACGGGCAGCAGATGGCAGCTGCTCTGGTGACAGTCAGCCTGGCAGTGCCTGCCTGTCCCTGCAGGGAGCAGCTCCAGCTGATGTGACTCCCATTCCCTGGAGCAGCCTGATGGATACAGCCCCTTCCTCCCCTTCCTGCTGTTCATTCATGAGCAGCAGGCTACAAAGCAGGAGTTTTATACTCCCTGTTGCAGTGGTGCCCATAACCCTCCTTCCTTAACAAAGCACCTAGCACACATATTTATCACCACGAACGCTCACACCGACGTGGCTTTCAGGACAGAGTTCTCAACTGGGGAGTCAGTATTTCACACAGAGCCTGATGCAATTCTTCAAACCCATTTATAGGGCCCCATAAACGTCCAGGAGGGCTGCCAGGTGCTGGGAGCGTGGCAGCAGCAGGGATGCACACACCTCCTACTCACTATGGCAATTCTGCAGATCCACCTTAAAACCCAGAGCGTCTTATTGTTATTTTTGGGCTGATTCCATCCTGGGTGGACTTCAAAGTTAGCAGCATCTGGGACAGCAGCGCAGTTTCCATGGCAACTGGATCCAGAGTACTGTCCGCCTGGGGAGCACACAGCCTCCTCCTCCTCCTCCCTTCCCCGCCCAGCCTGCACTGTACCCACAACGCTGCCTTTCCTGGCCCCGGGGCAAGCTGGACCCCCAGGCCCTTGCTCTCCTCTGCCACCATTCCCTTTGTCATCACTCCACAGAGGCCAGGTGGGGAGCAGCAGCAGCCTCACCCCCTGGGCCAGCGGGGCCCTGCCAAGCCATGGCCTTGCTGCTCTGCTCCCAGGGACACAGCTGGATCCGTGTGCTGCTGCAGCAGCCCAGCAGGATGAGCACGCCCTGCTGCACCCAAAATCCTGCCCGTGAGCAGCCACCCAGCCAGCCTGGCCCCATCCAAAGCCAGAGAGCAGAAAGCCCTTTGGGAAGGGATTAGCCCCTGGCACTAAGTCTCCGAGCTGGCGTCCAGAGGCGTGTAGAGTTACTTGGTGTGGCACAGTAGCAGCAGAACATCCTCCACGGTGCCACCCCAGCAGCACCCCGGGACTCGGTGTCACCTACTCAGGCAACTGTGTCCATAGTGCACCAGGAAGTCAGCGCCCAGGGCCCGGGCCGTGTAGTCATCCACGCAGCAGGCGCCGTAGGTCACGTCCCCCATCACCACTGCCTCTGCATCCGTGAATCTGTGGGGAGGCACAGCACTCAGGGTCACCGCCGCGTCACCACAGCCCCAGAATGTCACCACGGGGGGACCCCGCGCTGCCACCGAGCCACGCGCCGAAGAGGACAAGCACTGGCTACTCTCCGAGATGTCAACATGATTAAGCTGGAGAGCGGTAATCCGCCTCTTCAATTGGGTAAAGCTGTTTGCAATTCAGCGGATTATCCACTCATCAAACAATACGCTGCCAGATTCCTAATGCTCCAGCGGGGAGAGCAGCAGAGGGAGACCCGGCACAGCGTGGTGCCACCGCTTCCACCAGCCAGCCCTGGGGACTGCAGCCACCAGGATGGGCAGAACAGCTGTCCTGGCATCTCTTGTGGTGCCAGCCAAGCCACCATCAGCCCGTGGCTGGGCACTGTGTGAGCTGGTGAATCCAATCTGCACCAGGCTGTGTCAGCCCTGCATGCCAGTTTGGCCAAGGTGGGTGACCTCTACAAGAGCTGGTGCTTAAGTGGCACTCAGCAAGAGAAAGCACCAAACCACCACTGGTGCTGTCCCCTACCCCCAGTGCTCCAGTCCAAGCACCTGCCAGCTTGTGGGTGAAGGGGCACACACCAGCCCGAGCAGCAAAGCCAGGGCTCTGGCATGATTCAGAGGCACCACCTTTGTGGGTATTTATTGCACCATTTTGGGGGATTATTAGCTTGGCTACCTTCCCAGGGAGCTGCCGCAGCAGGATGAGAGGCAGGTATCACAACGACAAAGCCCCGTGCCTGGAGGGGCTGCTTAAACCAGATGCTAATTCCTCATTTAATTGAGGCCTGCTGTAGCTCGGTGCCAGCAGGGTCTCCCCTGCTGCTGGCACCGGGGACCAGGGAAGGAGGGGGCCCTGGCACAGCGTCACCCCCTGCAGCACCCATGGCTGGCTGGGGGCCAGGGCCAGGCAGGGAGCGTTACGTCGGCGGCAAGAATAGAAATGGTGGGCAGAGCTGGGCAGATGGCAGAAGGTGGAGAAATGGCGGAGCGTGCTGAATATTAACAGCTCCGGCCCATCCGTCAGCGCCCGGGGAGGGGGACAGGGGAGCAGCAGTGCTGGAGTGTCCCCGAGGAGGGGGCACAGCCATCCTCCCCTCTGAGTCCAGCCTGGGCAGCTCCCACTGCACAAGGGTTAGGGACGCAGCTGGGCAACGTCAGAAGATGGGCAGGATCCTGCCAGCACCCAAATCCCGCCATTCCTCACGGCCAGCGTGGCCTGCATGGGAGCATGGCTCCTCCACTGCCCACGTGGTCACACCGTGGGGCTGGGGGCTGCCAGGGAAGGTTCCAGAAGGCTCTTCCCACCCTTCCGAACCCCCAGCCCCCTCCTCTAATGAGAGGTGATGAGATGAACATGAATCAGACTCCACACATCTCAGCAAAAGTGGAAAATTATTCAGCTCCTTAAGATTCAGGATGGGGAGGTCTGACTCAGAGCGGCAGCCAGCGCCGCTTAATTTTTTATAGATTAAAATGTATGCAAATTGGCCCAAACCCCAGAGAAAGTCCCTGGGGGTGAAGAGCAAGAAAGTGAAATAGCAGCAGTGGAAGGAGGAGGGCAGAGGTGCCTGTGGCCCTGCCCGGTGTGTGGGGCTGCAGCTGGGCAGGGAGAGGTGAGGCTGAGCCCTGTGCTGGCCACGGGCAAGATTCCTCCTCTGGCTGCAGGGAGTGGAGTCACAGGTGAGCACAGAGGCCACGGGATGGTGCCTGGTGAGGAGGGACCCAACGGTGCTGGCAAGGCCAGGAGCCTGGTGGTGCTGCAGGAGAGGCTCCAGGATGGCACACACCAGGATCACCCGCTCCGGCTGGGCTGGACAATCGAGCGGAGCCGTAATCATCTCCAGAGACAAATCAAAGGCAGGCACCAGGGCCTCCCCTTGATGTTTTAATCAGTTCAGTGTCGCCAGAGTCTTTCATCAAACTACAGAGGAAGGAAATGTCAATTAGCAGCCACCTGCCTCCAACACAGGCTGGGGAGCTGCTTGCCAACCAGCCCGGACCAGGACGTGGGCAAGGGGCAGCCAAGGCAGCATCCTTGTCAGTTTTGTGTCCCTGGAAGTTGTCACAGCCACGGATAGGTCCCAGCAGCGTGCTGGCAGTGGTGACAGGGATGTCCCCACCCAGTGCTGAGACGCTCATTACAGCTGGGAGCTCATGAATATTGAACACGTGGGGAGGTTATTCATCTTTTACGTCCCGCAAACCCCGGCTCATTCTGAAAAACCGCCTGGCCTTAGCATTTTTCTCATCTCCCCCTAATTCATTATCTGCTCCTTTAAACAGATGGTTCCCAAAATCCCATTTATAAAGTGCCATGCTCAGCACTGGCAGGATGTGCCCCAGGGCAGGCCAGGTCCCGGCCCCGATCCCAGCTGGGACCCCCAAGCCCTCCCAGCCCTGCTCCTCGGTGCAGGATGGAGGCAGCAGCAATCCAGGGACAAGTTTTGGGGCTGAAAACGCTGGGTCAGAGACATGCACACATGGGGCCTGCATGTCTCCAAGCATGGGGTAGCCAGTCCCTGTCACCTGAGCACAAGCACTTGGCTGGAGCAGCCCTGATTTATCCCAGCCCCTCGAAAAATGAATGAGAGCATTTGCTGCTGGCAGGAGCGCGAGGTCCCTTGGCAGTGTGTGAATGATACAGTGCTGGTCCTCAAGCCATGAGGCAGAGCTGCTCTCACAGCAGGGACGAGTCCTCAGCCCCTGTGGGGAGGGGATTGAGGGGACTGGGCTGAGAGTGGCCAGTCCTGGCACCCCTGTGCTATGGGAGGATGCAGCCAGCACCGGGATGCCAGGGTGCCTGCATGACAGGGACACAGTGCAGACTGCCCCTTGCCTCACAGCCACCTGCCTCACCCCCATGTGGCCTTTCAAACACCCCACAACCACCCCATAATCACCCCACAAACTCCACCCCAGTGCCTGCCTTGTGCCCTGTGCCCAGCGTGTCCCAGGACACCCGTGGCTGCTGCTGTCCTGGGCTGTGGGGGCTGAGCCCAGCCCTGGCTGAGAGAACAGTGCACTTAATTAGCAGAGAAGCCCATCACCAAGCCCCATTACCAGATTCCCAACTTCATTAGCACAGGAAGGCTGCACATAATTAAAATAATGAGTTTGCGATTTTATTGCAATTGGTGCTGGAAGAGCCCGGCTGCAGCTGGGCAAGGATGGAGCCCCACAGAGCTGCTGCAAGTGGGGCATGATGGGGAGAGGTGGGTGTCCCCACAGCCCCCAGGAGGAACCATTCCAGCTGGGTCCCCTCCCCTGAGGGGACTTCCCACTCTGTCCTCTCTACAGGTGGCAGGGCAAACATCACCTCCCAAGGGGCATGTCCCAGGGCACCCCAGCTTTGCTGGTCCTGTAGCAGCAAAAAAACCTCAAAATAAGGCAAACCAAGGGTCAGTCACCCCAGCTTTGCTGGTCCTGTAGCAGCAAAAAAAACCCCCAAAATAAGGCAAACCAAGGGTCAGTGCATGTTGGCTGTAAAGGCACCGTGACCATCCCGTGTCTGTATGGTGCCTGTCCCCTCTGTGGGATACAATGAGGTGGCATGGGGCACTGGTGGTGGGCACCACACCTGTGCTGGCACACCCCAGCCCTGGGAGGTGACAGCCCTATAGACCCGGCCCAATCCCCCTGGCACAGCCACCACCCGGGCAGAAGGTTTTGAACATCTCCAATGAAGTGAGAACTTCATTCCTCTAATGATGCTGTTGTGTGGTTAATGACAGTGATTAAATTCCCCTGCTCAGCGTGCACCCGCTGCCAGAGCCTCCAGGTTGTGCTGAAAAGGACGAGGGAAGAAGGGAAGGCAGTGCTGGCCACGGCACTGTGCAGCTGAGGCCAGATCCTGATCTCTGTTAGTGTCTCAGGGTGGCCTTTTGGGACCTCCTGGTGATGCTGCCAGCTTCATCACAGCATTCAGTCCCACACTGCTCAGTGCCACATGGCAGACCTGCCTGGCCAAGGGACCTGGCACCTGCTGGCACTGGGAACCTGCTGGGCACACCAGCCACGGCACTGTGGGGCACACTATCCATCAGGGCCTCTTTTGTCCTGGCCATAGTGGGGCATTTCAAGCTCTGCCACAGCTGTTGGGCTGTGCACACAGATGTTTAACTCTTTATTACTCAACCAGCACCCGCTGTCACTCCAAAAGTCCCTGTCTGCTCCTGAGTCACCAGGATGAGACTAGAATGGTCTGTGCACCTCCAGCACCACCTCTCATGGATCTTCAAAAGCCACCTGGGAGTTGGGAGGTGTTTAAAAAGGTGTTTAAAAGCCACTGGGAGTTGGGAACTTGTGGCAGGGCAGCCTCTGCAGGCATCAGGACACCCCTGGGCCCCCCTGCCACTGCCCATCCCCGCCACCAAGCCTGGGCTGATTAGCAGGAGCCTCTCACCCCGGCGCGGCACAGGAAGACAGAGGGATTAGCAGCTGCCAAGCCCGACAGCCGACTTTATTAACACGGAATCAAAAGCCCAGCTGAGAGCCCAGCTGATCCGCCTGCTCCAGCCCTGGCAGGGAGGGGAGCAGGGGTCCCGCTCCAGGCTGCACAGCCCCCACAGCCCCCAGCTGCACGCTGGTGGCACAGGGGGACACGGCTGTCACCTCCCCGGCATGACAGCGGGTGGGCTGGGGGGCTGCCCCTCCCCGAGCTGTGGTCCGAGCTCCCCCCACGCGCTCTCCACGCTGCCGCCCCCCCAGCACGAGTTGCTCCTGCCGAATTACATCAGCCGTGACAAATGGAGCCAATTTGGAAGGTGCCGCGGGAGTGTCGTGATGTGGCGCCGGCAGCGCGCGGACCCCGGCCCCGACACCCCCCCAGTGCAGCCCGGCACAGCTTTGACAATGACAAACCTATTAACGGTAATTAACTGGCCTCACAGCGGTCAGTGCTCCGAGTGTGCTCTCGCTTTCAAAGGCTCCAGGCTGAGAACCCCACCGGCCTTTCCGGCTGCGATGCTTCGGCTACATCTTCATCCCCGCAGCCCCTCGGGGCTCGGCCAGCGCCAGCAATGCTGGGAAGCTCAGACAGGCCCCACCTGGCCTCCCCACTCCCCTCTTTACTCCACGGAGCTCCCCGGGGGCCTGCTCGCTCCCACACGGCAGTGAGGGACGTGGTGACACTGCCATCCCACTGCACGGGGACAGACAGACGCAGGGTGAGCACCGTGTCCCCTCGAGCTGCCTGCGAGGTGGGGGAGTGAGCCACATCCCCCTCTCGGCTCTCCCAGCACCACCAGGCCACGGCACAAACACTCCATTAAAAGGCAGCTCCAGCAGAAGGGATAAATATTCCGTCTGAGTGGCAGCTGACACGGCTCCAGTTCGACCAAAACACACAGGGGTGGGCACTGTCACCCCAGGGCCACCAGCCCCGGGCATGGCTCTGCAGCAGAGAATGCAGGGGAGGGGGAACTCACCCCCCAAACTCCCACCAGCAAGGACGGGGCAGGAGGCTGTGGGGATGGGCTGGGAAAGGGGCTGCTCGCTGAGCAATGCCCCCAGTGGGCACACAGGTATTCCTGTCACGCTCAGCCCTCACATCCTCTCTGTCACCAGGAGGAAGGGGACACCAGCCCAGGGCTGATAGTACCCCAAGCCCCTTCCCCAGCCTGGTGACAGCAGGCAGAGCACACGGCTGCAGCGATTCCTGTCACGTTGGAGGCTCATCCGGCCCCAGCACTGGGTGAGGAGGGCCAGCAGGAGCGGGTGGCCGAGCTTCCACTCCACATTAATGCTGGCCATGAATATTAATAGCAGGAAGAGGCAGGAACTAACGAGGCCACCTGCCGATTCACACCTCACCTCCAGCAGTGTGGCTGGGTCCCCAGTGTGTCCCCAAGAGAGTGGACACAGGGCTGGGCTCATCCTGCCCACAGCCACTATCCTCTGGCTGGCAGTGCTGGTACCCAGCACAGCCACAGCCCCAGCCAGGATGACAGATGGCACCCAGTGCTCCCAGTAAGGGAGGGGCAGTGGGGTGTCTGGGTGCTGCATGGTGGCAGTGAGGGAAGGACACAGCCCTCCTGCTCAGCCTTGAAGCCATCCCACATCCAAACACCATCCCCATCAGTGCCCCCACATCCCCTCCCTTGGCTGGGCACCTCCACCCACGCAGCACCCCTCACCAGCCCAGCAAGGATGCCAGCACCCCAGAATCCAGCGGCACCCTGGCATTCAGCACCCTGGAATCCACCATCCACCGGGAAGTGGGGCTTAAGGTTTCATTCAGATAAAAGAGCCCCTTAATCCGCTGCCTTTGAAGTCGGAGACATGAAAGCGGCTGGGTGCCAGAGCCGAGAGGAGGCAGCTCCACTTAAAGGGACAAACCCACGCAGAGCTGCCCACACTCACACCCACCCCCTGCCCCCCTGCCCGCGCCCACCTTCCCACCGAGTGTGGGGCTGCCGTGGGGGAGACGATGGCAGTGTGGGGACAAAGCCTGCGGGCACGGCTGCCTTCCCACCCAGCACGGCAGCGGCCTCGGCAAGGCAGCTGCTAATGAGTGCCACGACCCCGATGGCAGACGAGGCACGAAGTGCTATTAGCACTAATTCATTGTGCTAAAACAGAGAGGGGCTGCGGAGGGGGCTGCGCTGGGTGTGGAGGAAGGCAGACGCTCTCAGCAGGGAAGAGATCATGGCCGATTTCTGCAAGGTGCCTGCATCCCCTGTCACTGCACAGCCCAGCTCCTCTCCAGCGACACAGAAAAATCACGAGAGGAGCCGTGGCGAAGGGGTCACCCAGCAGGAGCCACCCTTGCCGTGCCATCACCGTGGCCTCAAGCCTCCCCAGCCGCAGCGAGGCTGCCCCTGCCCATCCCCGTGGCTGCAGGGGCAGTTCGGGGCTGGGAGGAGGAGGCTGTGTCCCTGCCGCAGCGCTGGCCCCGCTGCCGGCCCTCCCCCGGCACCGGGCTGGCGTCAGCCCGTCGTTAACACGGCTGCTCCCGGCTCCAGCACCCCTGCGGGGCCCGGCATGCCGAGCCTGTCAGCAGAGAGGGGAGGAGAAGCCGAGCAGCGAGGGCTGGGCTGGCACCGGGGCGGTCCCTGTCCCCAGGGCTGGCAGCAGCTCGCTGTGACTGCCCGGCTGTGCCCAGCCAGGTCGTGGCCCCAGCCACAGCTCCTCCTTCCTGCCCGGTGGCCAAGCCAGCCCCAGCAGTAGCCCCCATGCCCTGGCCAGCCCCGGAGCCCCCAGGGAACAGCAGTGCTCTTACCTCTCAATGATGTCAGCGATGGTGCAGGCGAACATGAGGAGCCCTTCTGGCATCTGCAGGGCCACTGGGAAGAGAAACAGCCACGGGGTTAGGAGGGGCTGGAAGGGACATCTTGAAGTGGGGAGCAGCTCAAGGTACAGCCACAAAGCACCCTCCCCAAAGCAGGCAGGTGTTGGCCAAAAATCTGGGTGGCCCTGGCAGCTGGGGTGCAGACTGTCCTGCCCTGGGCCACCTCCACTCTCCCTGTGCACACACCTCATCCCTCTCTGAACCCGCTGACACTGCTGGTCTCTTCCACTTCTCACAGTAATGACTTCCACATTTTAATTATGTGCTGCACAGCAAAAGGTACTTTCTTCTGTTTATTTTAAACCTGCTCCTAATAATGTAAACGTGTGCCCCTGGTTCTCCTGGTACAAGAAAGAGTGAATAATCATCCCCTGTTCAGCCTCTCCACATCATTCACAATTCTACATCCCTATCATATCCCCTTTCGTTCACCTCTTTTCCAGCTAAAGGATCTAAACCTATTTAATCTCTCCTCATACAGAAGCTGCTCCAAACCTTTGATCATCCTCAGTGCCCTTCTCCACACCTCCCTCGCAGCTTCTCTCTCCATTTCAGGAGGGTGGCCAGCAACAGCCGCAGCATTGTGCCTTGCAGGAATTTATTCAACAACAAATTGCATCTCCTCATTTGCTCCCTCCTCGCAGAACAATCAGAACAATCCCTCTTCCTCCAAAGGCCAGCAAACTGCCCAGTGCCTGGAGTTCAGCCAGGAGCCCCCAGGGGTGGTGGGGAGGAGCAGGGACCATGATGGAGGAGATAAATGGAGGAGGCCCCATTAATCCTGTTGTTGTTTCACATCCCAAACCCACTAAGACATCCCAGTTTCCATGCTATCTATCCAAACACTCTCTCCAGATTCCCCTCCAACAAAATCCCCACGCTTCCAGGCCCAGCCCACTGGAGCTGTGTAAAGGCCTGGCTCAAATTAGGCTGATCCCACCCTGTTCCAACCTGCAGGGCCCCAGGAAAGCTGCACGTGCTCTGCCAGCCCTTGGGGGATCCACCTGGCAGGGATCCCCCCTGAGCCCATTTTGGCCCATTTGGGGCTGCCCTCCACCCCAGATCTGCAAACAGCAGATTGGCAGGAGGCAGCTGTGTCTCTCTGCACTTCCACAGCACAATGGGGAAAGGGGGTGCTCCCCAGGCCCCCCAAACCCCCCGGCAGGCCGGGCACAGGCAGGGCTGGCTGCAGCCCTGTGGGAGGCTGCGTTCCCCCAGCAACGAGCCCCTGGCTGCTCTCTGCACACGCGGATTTTCAAATCCCAGCACGGCTGGCTGCCTGATGGGCTCCGCTCCCAGCTCTCGCAAGCCTAAATCCCAGCCGCATATTTACATTTAATTAGGAGGTGCCAAGCAGCAAAAAACACAGCGAGGAAAGGCGGAGCAGCAGGGCTGGGCCTGACGGGACACGCCCAGCCCCGGCTCGCCGCCCGCAGCCGGGATGGGCCGGGAGCCCCACACCCTCCGGCACGGAGCCGGGAGCAGCTCCGCTTCCAGAACATCCCCGCGACGCCTGCCAGCCCTGCCAGCCCTGCGGCAGCGGGCACAGACATTCCCGGGGGGATAGAAAGCGTTTCAAATCCGGCTGTGCCGCACAGCCCCTGTGTGCAGGAGAAGCCAGGGAGGGGACACTGGTGACACCCAGGGATGGGGGAGGCTCCGAGCCCTGTGCCTGATCACACACTGCTCAGTGGGAGGCACAGGGAAAGCCCTGGCACCACTCCTGAAGCCTCCACAAACATTCCCTGCCCCTCTGGGGGTGCACAACCCTGTGAGCAGCAGGGCCCAGCTCCCTGGCAGCCCCCCCGGTGCCCGCTGTTGTGGGGCTCCCCCTTGCCAGCCCCAGCAGCGTGTCAGGAAAGTGCAGGGAGAGAGGAGAGAGGCAGGAGGAGCACAGCAGGGCCCTGGCCAGCATCCCAGACACATCTCCAGGCTGACAGGTCCACGCAGCTCAACCTGTCCTGTCCAATGTGATTATAATCCAGAGCTACAGATCTATTAACCCCCCTGGAGAGGAGCAGAGCTCGCCAGCACCGAGCCCAAACCCACCGGGGGCACAGCAGCAGCTCAGCCCCAGCCTCCCCTGCCCCACGGGGGGGTGAACAGCACAACCCAGCCCCAAACCCGCTCAGCCCCCGGGGCAGCGCTCACCCTTCCTGGCCCCAGCCTGCCGGATGCGCCAGATCGTCTTGGGGATCTCGAAGTTGTAGTTGGGCGGCAGGGCCGCCGCGGCCTCCCGCAGCTCGGCGCTGCCCAGGATCTCCTCGGGGATGGGCTGGGCCACCCGGCGGGCTCGGGCTGCGGGACAAAGCGGGCAGGGCTGTTTCTCTTCCCACGGGAGGCGGCGCGGCCACCGCAGCCGGGCTGTCCCCTCGGGTCACACCCCCAGGGGGCAGCGGGGAAGAGGGTCCTGCCCCGCAGGCTGGGGGCGGATCGCTAGCGATTTTTGGGGAATAAAGCGGTTTTTTAGCCCAGAGAGCACCGCGGTAAGGATGTGAAACGCTGTGCGCGCAGCTGGCTGTCCCCACAGCGAGGTGACAGCCCCTCGGCCAGCACCCCGGTGACACCCTAATGCCCCCCCGTTCCCCAGCGAGGGGATCCCGTTATCCCAGCGGGAAAGAGCCGCCCAGCGCCCGCGATCCATCCCCGGGAGCCTCATCCTGCAGCCGCCCCCCGACAGCAGCCGCCCCCCTACATCTCGGCGATGCCAGAGTGCAGCGGGGGAGTGACAGCAGGGGGATTATTCACTATTTCCAGCCCAACACCGGCACTCACGAGCCACCAAACCCTCCCCGCACGGCCCACGGGACAACCGACAAAGGGCCAGCTGGGCCGGCCCGGCGGCGGGGGTGGCCGGGCCGGCGGAGGAGCCACCTCCCGCCGCCGGCCGGGCCTCCCCCGTCGAGGCGAGCAGCACAGCGGGCGGTAGCGGCACCGGGAGCCCCGCGCGGAGCCGCTCCCAGCCCACCTTTGGCGGGCACCGGGGCCGCGCTCCCGGCGCGCACGGGGGCCGCCATGGCTGTGGCGCACGCGGCGGCGGCAGGCAGCGCCAAGCGATCCCCGCGCAAGGCCGGAGCAGCCGCCGGCCGAGAGATCGAGCCCGGGCGCGCACCGGGCGGGCCCCGACGGGACGGGCGGGCGGCGGGGACCGAGCGCTCTCGCCGCGCTCCCGGCGGGGCACTGGGAGCGCGGCGGGGCGTGACAGGCGCTGCGGTGGCGGGGCTGCCCGCCCTTCACGTCGGGGATGTGGTCCCGCCGCTCGCCTCGCGGTGCTGACAGTGTCAGGGTTAACGGCCCGAACGTTAACGCGGGGACGGGGCGGGGGCGCCGGGGACGCTGTCACGGTGACGGGTCCGTGTGTGTCCCCAGCACGACGTGTGAACCATGAGGCAAGGGGGACCCGAGGGTAATGGGGACCCCCTGGAGACACCGGGAGTCCCGACGGTGCAGTGGGGACAGCAGCGCTCCCGGTGCAGTAACGGGACCCTCGGTGGGACGGAGGGAAGTAGGCAAGAAGGACCCTGGAGAGGCAGGAGGGACAGTCCGGGGTCAGCGGGGACCTCCAGGGGACGATAAAGACCGAGGAGGCACCGGGGATCCCCCGAGGAAAGCGGCGGGGCCGTGGGGACAGCTGCGTTCCCGGGGGGATAACGGGACCCCCGTGGGCACGGGGGAGGAGGCAGGAGGGGCAGTCCGGGGACAGCGGGGACAGCCCGGGGACACCGGGGTGTCTGGAGCGCGGCGGAGAGTGCGGGGACAGCAGGAATCGGGAGACAGAGGGGCCAGCAGAGCCCCCGGTGACCCCGGTGGGGCGGCGGGCACGAGAAGGAGCCGAGGGCACGGTGGGGAGCGGCTGGGGCCGTGCCGGGGCGGCGGGGACAGCGCGGCCAGCCAGACCCGCATCGGACGGCGACACCTCGGCAGGACACGGCGACACGGCGGGCAGAGGGGACCATAAGGGCCCGAGGGGACGGTCCCCGGGGAGCGGCGGGGTCGGTGCGGGACAGCGGGCACAGCCGTGCCCCCGGCAGGCGCGGGGCGGCGCGGCGGAGCCTCGGTGCCATAACGGGGCACCGCGCGTGAACGACGGCGGCAGAGGCGACAACGATGCGCCGCGGGTGACAGCCGGTCCCGGGGGCACCGCAGAGCCCCGGGGGGGCGGCGCTGGGCCAAACCCCCCCGGTGGGGCGGAGGGAGGGCGGCGGCGCGGGGAACGGGAGCAGCGGCACTTTCACGAACTGTCCACGGGAGGCGGGAGAGGCGGCGGCGGCGGCGGAAGGGGGGGCCCGGGGGGGGCTCGCCCAGCCCAGCCCAGCCCCGCCGCCGCGCCCGAGGCTCTGAGCGCCGCCGCCGCCGCCGCCGCCGGGAGACCGCGCCCGCCCCGGCTCCAAGATGCTCCGCCAAGGTGAGCAGCGCACCGGGAGGGCACCGGCTGCCGCGGGCACCGGGGGCAGCGGGGCCGGCCCCGAAGTTTGTCTCCCCGCCGAAGTTGGGGCCGCGCCGCCGGGCGCCCCCCGCCGCCGCCGCGTTACCGGCGCCGCCACCGGGGCTCGGGCACCCCCCGGGGAGCGGCACCGGCGGGAGCGCAGCGCGGCGGGGAGGCGGGGGACCGGGAGGAGCGAAGGGAGGCAGGGCAGGCGGCGGGTCCCGCTGGACCGGGGACGCGGCGGGTCCCGCGGGCACCGGGGTACGGCGGGTCCCGGGGGCGGCGGGCGTGCGGCGGGCGCTGGGGGGGGACGGTCGGTGCTCGTCCCTCAGGGCGAGGGAACGAGAAACGGGGCTCACCGGGGAGCGCGGGGGGTTCGGCGGGGAAGTTGGGGCGAGCCGTCCCGTTCGGCCCCCCCGGCCCCCTCCGAGGAGAATCGCTCCGCTGTGACATCACGCGATTTCCATGGCAACCGCCTGGGACATCATCGGGGAGCTTTGTGACATCACGGCGAGGGGAGCTGCCGGCCCTCCCGGGGGGTCCGGGACGGTGGGGAGCGGGGGGCAGGACCCCCGGCCCCGCTGCACCGGGGCCAGTCCCGGGGAGATGCTGGGGACAGCGGGGCCACGCGGGGGGACCCCGGCCGGACCCCCAGTGCTGTCCCGTGCCCCAGGGAGGGGGTGGCCGTGCAGCCCTCGCCACCAGCGGCACATGCCCCTCTCCGACGAGGCTCGGGCAGTGGTGCCAGTGCTGTGTGTGCAGCCCCTGGCACTGGGGTGCAGCCCCCCGGGCAGGGCAGAGCCCCCCGTGCCACCCCAGAGCCGCTTTTTCCCGCTGGGGGAAATGTCACCTTGCGGCTGCGTGGCCTCGCACTCGGGTGCTCCTTTCTCTGGCTCCCGCCTCAGCTTTGTCTGGTGTATGAACCCAGCCGGGCTGGGTGGCTTGAGAACAAACCCCGAGCCTCCGGAGCAGTCCCGCTTTCCAGGCTGGATTCCCAGCCCTGGTGCAGCCGGCTGGAGGAAAAGCATCATCCAGGCTGGGAAGCCGGGAGCCTGAGGTGGAGGCAGGCAGCGAGGCAGGGTTGGATCCCACCAGGGGTAGCCTGTTAAGGTCAAGATCTACGGCTTTCATTTGTGGAGCTAGAAAAACAAAATGCAAATTGAAGAGCCTGTGGGCTAAAGCAAAACCTATTCTTAAAGTTTTTGTCTTGTTAAGCAAGGAAATAGAGTGCCAAATAGGCTTTGTTAAGTGGCAGTCTAATTAATAATTTAAAATCTTGTAGCTGTCTTTCATTAGAATTTATCTGTACATCAACCACAAAATCAGTCAAACACACTCATTTATAAGTTAATACCGTTCCTGAATAATTCAACAGGCAGTTAGAGGAGGCCTCCACCCTGCCTACAGGTTCTCCCCTCCCTGCTTCACCGTGGCCAGGTGTCCCTGGGCTGGGCGTCCCCGTCCCCAGCGTTTACCCCAAGCAGGGTGTGGAGGGGACATCCCACGCGTGAAGCAAGGTGACAAGGGGACAGCTGCTGCTGGGGCTCCGGGGTGGCTGGTTTTGTCATGGATGGTGGCAACGCAAGGCTGTGCTGGTGGGTGGCACTGCCACCGCCTTCCACGTCCCACTGCCAGGGACATGGCAGGGCTTGAGGCAGCAGGAGCCGTGCCGTGGTTGGCACCTCCAAGGGAGGCAGCTCCGAGGGGACAGCTTCACACGGTGCCACACGCTTTGCAGCAGGATGGCGGCAGCGTGGCCGGGCAAGTGCTGCTCCTCCTGAGGGCATTTTGGGCCTCTTGCACCCTGTGAGCTTCATCCGTGGAGTCACTGGTGGGGTTGAGGGTGGGTTGTGTGCAGTGGGGTGTCGCTGGTGTGGGTGGCAGTGGGTGACAGCGTGGGGTGCAGCTCCATCCCGGGTGAGGGTGTCACAGCCTTGTCAGAGGTGCAGGCAGCCGCAGGCAGGAGTGCGATCCTGGCGATGCAGGGGAAGGAGATTTCCAGGTCAAGGATGACACCAAGGTCATGGGCAGCCACATCCCTGTCCCTTCCATCGCTCATGCCATCGACGGGGCCTCCAGCCTCCATCCCTCCCTGCCAGGGCAGCCGTCAGCGGGCAGGGTGCAGGCGCAGCCTGGGCTGCGGTTCTTGCGCCGGGGAGCCAAGAGCCCAGAAACCTTTCTGCTTATAAAAGTTTAATTTCATAAAGAGCTGATAGGAAGCCACAAGCTCTCTGTGCCCGGTGAAGCAAGGGAGGGGGCCAGGATGTGGCCCAGGCTGTCCCTGTGGTTGGTGGTGCTGGGGGAGCGAGGAGGGCTCGGCAGACGAGACCTGCCTGGAGCTGGGGTCGGAGCCGTGGCTGCTCAGTGACCTGCACTGATGGAGCCCGCCAGGGTCAGAGCCACGGCCACGCTTGGCTGGATGTTATTCCCACTTTTTGCCTAAAATGCCACACCCAGTGCCCTGCAGTCCCATCTGAGTGCTGGAAGCTGTGGGTGACACTCCAGGTGGCCTCGAAGCGCTGCCCTAAAAACATCCGTGAACCTGCTGGGGAGACGTAAAAATATGCATTTTCCAGCGTGATTTCACACCCATCTTTCCCTGAAGCACCTGGCAGTGCTGGAGCCAGAGGCACAGGCCAGCAGCAGGGGCAGTGGGGCTCTGTGGTGTGCAGGATGAGGCCGTGAGTGGGATGACATTGCCTTGGGGCCGGGCAGGAACTTGGGCTGCTGGAAAACTGCTGGAGCACTGATGGGTTTTGACAGCAAGAGCCAAAATCTTGTTTGAAGGCAAAAACCAGGCAGGGAAGTGTGGGAGCCTGGAGGGATGTGATGGTGGCCAGGTGTGACCAGGGCTGTCTCCCACTGGGGTGTCCCCTGCTCCTGCAGAGCTGGCAGAGGCAAAGCCCCCCTCGCAGAGGAGTGACCCAGGACACGGCCACCTGTCCCCTCTATGCCCCACACTGGGGCACCCCTGGGTGACAGTGCCACTCATCCCCACCCCAGGGAGCTGCTCCAGTCTCCCCCAAACAGCCAAAACCTCGGGCTTTGTTTGCAAAGTGCAATTCCAGGGTTCAGCCACGATCAACAGAGGCTCAGGTTATTAAGAGCAGATTATGTTTGCAGAGCACTTTGGTGGAGCAGCAGCAGCACAGGCACACAAACCCCAGCTGTTGTGGCTGTTTGGGTTGGGATGGGTGAGGTGCTGTCCTGGTTCAGAGCCCACTGAAGGAGGCTGAAGTCTGATTTAGGAGCAGAGGCAACAAGTGGGAGGCTGCAGGGACAGCCATGAGGCCAGGAGCAAGGGGGATGCTGGTGGGAATCAGTGAGGAAGAGCTGGGGATCCCTGAGCAGGGCATGGCCTCGGGAGCGCCACTGGGATACAGGAGCATCCGTGTCCTCTCCAGCAAGGCTGCTCTTCCCCTGCTATTTTTGGTGATGCTGCTCAAGCCCAAGGTGGAAAGAGCTGGCTCAGCCTCAGGATCCTGTGCCAGCAGCAGGGCTGGTGCTGTCCTCGCTCCACGTCCCATCTCCCAAATGGAGGAAGCACCAATCCCACCGATCCCCCCGTGCCATCCCTGCGGAGCAGCATCACCATGGAAACCCACAGCCCGGCAATCAGAGGGGGGACACT